CGTGGAGCACTTTGAAGTTGAGTTGTACCCACTGAAAGTGCAGTTGGAGTACCAGATCGGCAAGAAGCTGTTGCAATATGTCTTCCCTACGTATGGTGACAGCAAGACTGCGAACTCGTCGCCCTTCTTACTCAAGCATACTCTGCCGACTCAGGATGAGGAAGACGAAGAAAACGATAGCATCATTTCTGGAGCGACAAGTATGAGCGCCTCGCTGGCAGCTGATGACGGCGCTGTGGAAGCGCTCAAACAACGACTTACGCCCACACTTCAGCTGCCCGATCCTGTACAGAAGTCCGACGCAAAGAGGAAGAGCTTGGTTAAGCGCCCAAGCGCTCACTATTTCCGATTCTTCAAAGACAGCAACCCTTCTCGTAGTGGAACAGAGCTTCGTCGCACTCTTCACCCGAGCTCCGCTTTAGTGGTTCCTACATTGGGTAACAGTTCCAATACCTCCACAAGACCAAGCTCCGTCCGTTCAAGTACCACCAACTCAAGTCAGACTCTGAACGAGTCTGATCGAACAGCGAAACGCTTTGCGCTCTACCGCACTGGCACCAATCTGGGGGAGAAGAAACCCAACAAGAAGGAAGCGAGAAGTGACGATCTGACTGAGATGATGAGTCGTGCGAGCGAGTATATGACCGTTGCTTACTTTAAGATCCCGTCCATGGTACTATGTCTTTCCTACAAGGGCAAGAGCACACGCAACTTTGAAGATGTCCACGATCTGGTCTTCAGGATGCCAACAATTGAGTACCGCAACAAGACATGGTCTAACCTCGACCTCGTCACACAACTCAAGAAAGACGTCTTGCGGGCGCTCCTCTCCCACGCCGGTACGATCGTCGGCAACAAGATCTCGCACCACCGACCTTCAGCCAAAGCACAGTCGCGCCTGAGACAGCTCGCCAATAGCAGCACGATGCTCAACACCTCTCCCGATCTCTCCGGCACAGATTCAAACTCCATGCGCGACCACTCACCCGGCGGTTCCGACCTCTCAGCCGAAGACCGTATGCCCCGCCGTTCTTTCGCATCCGGCCGCCAAGGTAGTCTCATCAGCACGGTTTCGGAAGAAGGCTCGTCTCTCCAGTCATCAAAACCACCTTCGACCTCCAACCAAGCGCGCTCGACACACGGTTCCATCATGGGTGGCTTGAATCATCACAGCAACGGACTAGGCCCCGAAGACGTCGATGACGGACGTGCCTTTGCTGATGAGCTGTCAAGAGTAGACAACACAGAGCCAGTGCACGCAAACCTCATTCATAGCTTGAGTAAACACATCGCTGGTGTCAGCGCACCTTTCGCCGGACACATGAGAGGCAGAGCGGGAAGCGGTGCGGCCAGCATGCGAGCTGCGAGTGTGGCCACTGGTATTAGTGGCATCAGTGGTATGAGCGGACGAGAAGGCAGTGTCATGGAAGAAGATACCGATGGTCCGAAGACGAAGAAAGCGAAGGCTCTAGGCAAGAAGTTGCTTGGTAGGGGGAACTAGAAGCTTCCCTAACATCACTCTTTTCCTTTTTTTGTTCTGCATCATCACTAGCATTATTTGGCGTTCCTTTGTTTTCATTTGTAAATACTGGGTTTTAGACGGTGTTGTAGCAGGCAGAGCTCTTTCTTTGTTTTGTCTTTTGTATCATAGCGTTGCGTGAACGGGTGTCCTGGAGGTGTTGAAGTAGATAGTTTTCCTGTAAACTCTGTCGTGGAGGTCTAGTATCAAGTCAGATAAAGATTACAGTTCCATGATGTTGCCGTGTAAGATCTCACAGTTTATATAATGATGTGTGGGCAGGGTTTGGTGGCGTAGCTGACGCGACGTGAGGACGCGACAGGTTCGCGTTTGGCGGGGCTGGTCGGTGCACTTGGGAAACGTCATTGCGGCACCCAGCATTGCCAGCTCGAGGTCGCGACTTCCGCTCTTCTTCCTTCCATCAGGCGATGTCAACACACCCGTATAACGCGCGTTCGTTTTCAACCTGCGTCACTCACAGCTACCTCCCCTTCGAGCTTTCATCTCTCTGATTCGGTAAACACTTGCGTCTGACTTTGAAGTCGGGAAAAAATAAGACAGCAATCATGCGTCTTCGATCGTAAACACGCAAGCTCGTCAGGTCACCATGGAGAAATTGCTTCGCCAACTGCTGGGCCCAAGGGTTCGCGGGAATGTCTCGAGACTCTGAAGTTGATCGTACCCGCCTGGGGGCTTCGAGGGCACCGGGATGCAGACCCTAACGCGAATCATGGGTTAGCATCACCTACAGATGTAGGCAGCTACTCTCTAGGCTGCGCCATCCGTCTGTTCTGCAGTTGGAGTAAGCTGCACCCATCCGATGGCTTCAATCATCGCCAAACGTCAGATTCGTCATGAGTACGGCATTGAAGCCGCCACCCTGACCATTCGACTACCCGGTACCATCAATTCATACGACGAATATCTGCGCTACCTTTGTGTGCACGGCCATCAATGCGCAATTCACGCCGTGTTGCTGGTCCACACCGTTGGACAGTGCATTCATAGTGCTCCCTTTACCGATATATACAATGCCTAGCCGCTTTGGATCTCACGATCATAGTTCGCTCAATCTCCGCTTCAACTTCTCGACTCCATCATACATCGAAGCGAAACTTAACTGCGCTCTTCGTCAGCGTATTGAGAATCAAGATAATCGACCGCTCTAATGTCGAATTCCCCCTTTTTCACGACCTTACCAACCGAAGTCCGCGACATCATCTACGACTACCTCTGGAGCGGTACAAAGACCTTTGTCCAGCGGCATGATACCAAAGACTACAAGGTAACCTATGACCGAAGGCACGACTCGGTCGAAGCACCATCTGCTGTTGACAAGATCCCATGGCTTCTTACCAACAAGCAAATGATGCGCGAAGGCATCCGACAGCTACACCAGAAGTCAACGTGGCACCTGGATAACCGATTATCAGATACACATCTTCAAAGCTATGTCTTGAACGCCATCACTCCATCAGAGTGCCATACGCACGAGATCTTTATCCAGTGCGACTGGCCGATGATCTTCGATGACGTGAAGCGAGTCTACCGGCTGAGCGAAGTAGCACGGGCTGAGATCAATAGAAGCGCCGCGACAGCTAACGCGTCAACTCCACTAGACACTGTTTGTATCAAACTCGTCCGTCCAACCAATGAACGACTAGCTGCCAACAGCGCGGCAGACTTTACCTTTAACCTCTCTGGCCTCGAAATCTTATCTAGCCATGCCGAGCTTCGTCGTCTCCAGGTTCACCTCGTTGGCGTCGTTGATGATACTAAAATGCTTGTGTGGTATTGGAGTTTGCGGGGGGAGACCGACAGCGCAAATAAAGCTAGGCGTCTGGAAGATCATTACTTGGATGCTTGGAAGAAGGAGTTCTCTCGTGCGGCTGAGCTGGTAATTCCCGGGGGCAAGCGGAGTGGATATATGAGGGAATACACACAAGGGAACGGGCGTTGTCTGGAGTGGGTTTGGACGTTTGAGAAACAAAAGTCAAGCCATTGAGCTTATTAGAACGTGGAGAGAGCGCGTACAATGAAGTATGTTTACACGTTTTGAGTGATTTTGAGGGGACATGTGGGAGCGTAAGCACACAATGAGTACATCGTCGTAGGAAGCGAAACCAGCAACGAATGAGAATAAGACAGTCGTTAAGATTCACAATATCTCTCTCTAACCGTGATGATAGGCTAGACGCCTATGCCTTCGCTGACTGATCACTCAGAATGCCTTTGACAAGGTCGCTCAACTTTACTTGCGCTTCAGCAACCTCATCAAGCGAGTCCCGCACCTCTTCCCACTCTTCATTCCTGACTTTCCCCAATTTCTCCTTAGCGAATACCCCGATAGCAGCCCATACACTCTCCAAGTGTTGCGCCTCCACCCGCATAAACTTCCTCACCTCTTCTGGCGCATCATCTTTGAGATACTTTCGCACGAGCCTTGTCATCTTCCCTCCTGGCTTGCCATCGTATACATCTTCATGCTCGTAGCACCTATAGATGAGCTTTCGAATCAATTGGGCCAGAGATTCGACATCTTCTTCCTCTGCCCGTGCCTTGCGTTCAAGCCCATCTGGAGAGTCCGTAGGATCATGGATGCAGCTCTTCGCAAATCCTACGAGACTGATTTTAGGGCGTTTAGCAATGGTAGCCTCGCCATTCTTCTCTTCTTCGTAGGGAAAGCTGATAAGAATGTCCTCCGCTAAAACACTGCCATGTGTAATAGTCGGCTTACATTCGCGGTGTAGGAAGTAGATTGTCTCATAGAGCTGCGTAATGATGAGCCAGAGTAGGCATTTTGGAAGCTTGTCCCTAGTGTCGAATACGAAGAGTCCTTCAAGATCACTAGATACTGGTGAGCTTGCCATGACCAGCCAACCTGGTTCCCCTTGGGCCATAGCTTCCATGTCGTAGTGGTCAACTACTTCAATGCAGTGTTCACCGCCGCTGCGAGAATACGATTGGCGGTGTATCTCTTGGAGAATGCGTAATTCGGAATGCATCGTAGGCTGGGTAGAGCCTTCTCCGGGAATCTTTACTGCAACGACGCGCCTAAGGAGTGCATCGACGACTGAGTCCTCTTGGGCGTTCGCAGCCAGTTTGGAACGCGCATCATCGATGTCGGAGGTGGGAACACACAGACTGACAAAACAGTACGTAGACGAAGCAGCGTCGCGAAGCCAGGTGTATTTTTCGGGCATCTGTGGGGGCCTGTCGCCCGAAGCGTCGTTGAGTGCTTCAGACATTCTAGGGTGGACCGCTGTGAGTAGGGTCGAATTTTTTGGACGTGATGATAACCGAAGGAGCAATGAGAGTCTTGTATTGTTGCGATCCAAGGGAGCGATGATGCCTTAATAAAGCGTGCCAGAAGTTTGTGACTTTCGTCACAAGAGCACAAACCATCGTCGTGCGTGCGCATCATTCGCAATCAACGTCTAGGAAGCCTCTTCCTTATGGTCTTCATCTAATTTGTCTGGCGTCACCTGGCGTCGCACTCCCTAAGCTTCGCCCTATACCACGGCTTAGCAATCTTAGCAATCTCAATCTTCAACGCCGCTTCGTCCACACCATGCTCTTTGATATGTCTCTTCTCTTCTTCCAAGATATCAAATTGTATCCACTTTAGAAAGTCACCCAGTGCTCTCACATCCCGTTCAACACCCTTCTCGCGCAGCACATCCCAGCCTTGCTCAAGCCGCTGCTGTGAACACCACGCAGCTGCTACCGTTGCGGCTGCTTTTCTTCGCTCTTTGATGATATCGGCGCCTTCATGCTGTTTTGGAAGGCGGAAGAATGTAGGCTTGAACTTTCCCCCTTTACTTTTGAACCAGAGAGAAGTGTCGGCGTTGTACTGGGTGGGTACGGGTTTCCAAACGATACCCTCGCCCAGACCGGATATCCCGAAAGTCGCTGCGAAAGGACAGTGAGCGGCAACTTCTTCGGTCATGCGTTCAACTTCTGATACTGTGCGTTCGTAGTTGTCTGGGTAGAGTGTTGTATGGAAGACGCCGGCTCTAGAGGCGTTGTAGATGCCATGAGCCGGCAAGGAGATATCAGAGTATGCTTCGTCTTTCTGCCATGTACCATTGATGTTAACCGAGACGATGACGAAGCGACGTGATAATTGCGCGATGGCGACGTCTTTCTGGATCTTCTCGCCTATCCATTCGCCAGCTATCACAACGGGTGAGTCTTCTCCAAGTCGTGCGCCAGGATTCAATTCTTTCCATCGTGCCAGATACACATCTCGCAGTCCAAGCATGGCCTTGTTCTTCTCTGACATAGTTGCCGCAAACCCTTGATTATCTTTTGCGACGGACAGACCAGTCATGTTGCGCGATTGAAAGACGATGCGATCGTCAGGGTATACGAGTATGTCTGCGTGCGTACCATGAAGTTTGACTAGGCCGATGAAAGGCACAGGGGCCACAGTGATGTTTGCTTCTGGATGGGCAGGGTCGCGGTTCAAGCGCCGCAGCTGCTCGATCATCTCAGGGATGTGTGTCGTGATCTTGGGGTACAGCGTCGACTGTGCGGGGTCTGTAGTTGCCATGCTGGATCCGCCCGCGTTGTGCAGCGATCCTCCTGATCGCGGCTGATAGATCTGAACATGGAGCTATTACTTCAAAGTCCGCACGTGAGATAAAAAAATTTATGAAGAGGTTTGTGAACCAATACAGTCGCCGCTGTGTCGCTCAGAAGCTTGGAATGAGGCCACAGTAGTTCCAGCGTTGCGACGCTGTTATCGATACGCAGCTGTCAGCACCGCGATCTTCCACACGTTGCGGCACCTCGAGCCCAGCGTATCAAATACCATGCTTGAGCGCGAACAGCCGCTATCATGTGAAATACTGGCACCGCCAGTACAATTGACGCAGCAAAGTTGCGTCCCAGCTAGGATTTTCTCATGCAAATTTGAATCATTATATCATTCGTGACAGCTAGTCTCTAGAGCGTTGATTACGTGACATTATTCAATCTTCTAATGCAATTGCTCAAGCAGGTCATTAGATCTCTTCTAACTTCTACGTTCTAACCCGTCATGAGGCCTCCACCTTCTTCCCGTCCGGTTGGCCATCCTTCTTCTTGTCATCTTTATGCAACTCCGGGTTTAGCGGATGCTTGGAGTCATAACCGACTCTCTTGACGATACCCAGTCCTTTCGTCCTGCCCTCACGGAAAAGTATCCTATCGCCGACAGTCAAGTACTCCGGTCGCTGCACGAAGCGGAAGGCTACCTGTGCTCGGTCACCAGTGCGGATGTATTGGCGATCGATGTCGATAATGGCGCAGGTTTGGGACACTGGTCCAACGTGTAGCATAGCCTGGTACTTGGTCTTGATAGTCGTCGCGTGCGACAAGATCAAGACTTCAGCAACGAACTCGCGGTACACTTTCGGGGCTGGTAATATGCCAGTTGTCGGGTCTGGCTTTTCAGCCTTGTGCAAAACGACCATGCCTTTTCGCACGTCTTTCCGCCGAACGTTGCGCAGTGCGAGACTAGCAGACTGGCCAGCGGAGCATCCTGGAACTTGTATCCGTTTGCGCTCGACGGAACGTACCTTTGTCGTTTGGAACTGGCCAAGACTATCAGGACCGATTAAGACTGTGTCGCCAGAATGTATTTCACCAGACTTGACAACACCTGAAACCACAGTACCAACGAAAGGTACCGAGAATGTGTCGTTGACGTGGAATTCCAAAGGAGCAGAGGCGTCGTAATTGCCGTGATGCGGTAGTGCGTTGAGGAACATGCGCACCAGGTCCAGGTTGTGACCAGTGACATTGGAAACTTGGAAGATAGGACATATACGACTCGACACAAATTGGGTGGCGGTGGTGATGCACTCCTCCCTATTGTTGATGAATACCGGTATCTTTCGCGCCCCTGGGGATTTGAGAATCTTGGACAGCTGAGTTATAGTTTGTCCAAGAATCTGTGGTGGACAAATGTCGATTTTGGTGATAACGACCATGACGGGGACGTTGAGCGCAAGAGCGATTCCGAGATGCTCTTTACTCATACCCACTAAACCGTTGTTTGCCGCGATCATCAACAGACAGTAGTTGGGCTCGCTTGATAGCAGCCCAAAGACGGTAGTCCGCAGGTATCTCTCGTGACCAGCGAGATCAGTGAAGCTGATGACCTTGGCGGATCGCCGTCCAATCTCTTCCCAAGTAAGTTTTCGACCTGCGACGTTCGACACAACGACTTCGCTCTTGCTGTCAAAGCCCATTATCTCCATGCCGACTGAGCTGGTTCGACCACTCTCGATTTCGTGTTTGTGACGGAAGAGGTTGACACGCGCTTTTCCGCGGCCATCGTCGAGGCCGCCTTTGACGAGGACACCGAGCATGGTACTTTTGCCAGCGTCGACTGTCAATTGTCAGTGTATATTCTCAATTGCGCCGGGAAATACTTACCATTTCCCACAACCGCTATCCGCGTCTCTATCACATCATCGACACTCTGAGGCTGTTGTCGCAAGATCATCTTGCCACTTAAGCCAAGCTCCTTCGCATTGCGAGGTCCGACTTCGACGTCACCGCCAACGTTCCGCGTCATAAGCATCTTGTAGTCGGCCTTGATCTTCTCGCAGGCAACTCGTATCCTCTCCAAGGCAAACTTCCACTGGTCCTCAGTGAAGCCCATGGAGTCACCGCTGTCTTCCAGGCCAACGTCGAACAGAGCCTCCCCATGGCCCTCGGCCAGGCGCCCCTGGATATGCTCAGCGAGCGCTGCGACGTTCTCTTCGGCGGGGTCGGTAAGGAGCGTCTTTAGGCGGATATGCGCCTTGTTGTCATCGGAGAGGCCGAGCTCGTCGAGGATGCTCAGCTCATCGTGGTCTTCGAGGACGGCGGGGGCCTGGCCGGGCGGTCGGCGCAGCGCCTGTTGTTTCTGGACGTAGTCGGCAAATTCGCTGAGCGCCTGGTATTTACATTAGCTTGAGTACGTCTTCTGGAACCTCAATGGGTAATCCGTCTAAAGTACAATGCGATCGCCTTCGTGCTACAAGTAGCCCCATTTCCCTGGTTGTACTACTCGGCGCGAACCGTGAGCCAACGGAATTGGTTTGTCCTGTACCATACTCGTTGCAGTGTCAAAGCAACGAATATATCTGGGGTACATGTGGGGTACAGCTTGGGGAGATGGGCTTCTCTTGGGTCGTTACTTACAGACTCGCCCTTCCGCCGCTCAGCTGGGCTCTGCTTAGGCTCGTGTCGGGAGGCCATATTATGCGATCGAGCACGTGATTATGAAATATCCACCGGTAAACCTAAACTGAAGGTATTCGTAGCGACCGATGTACGTGGTGTGATGGAGGTATGAATGTGGGGTTGGGGCTGTCAGGACGTGTTCCGTATACACCGCCGTATTAATAAGACGTTTGATATTCGCGGGAGCTTGAAGGAGTGTGAATATTCCATGAGTTGTCTTGCAGTGAGCATCGAAGGGTGGCAAGTGCTGGAATGGCGCTGGCAATGGCGATGGGGAGCTGCTAGGGAGATCCGGGGGCCTACTTATCGATAGAAGGCCGCCGGAGCCATGACGCTGAGACTCACGCGGTAGCGCGTCTTGACTCATCCCAGAACCACCACCATTACACCACTCACAGTCTCCGTGGTCCACAATCACCGCGGCGTCATCCGTAGTGTTGTCGCTACAGTCATATGATACGTGTTTACGCCCTCGTATCGCTGAGTTTACGCGAGTCATCACCAAAAAGGGCGGAACACGAAAATGTCGCGACTAGGCAGCACTCCAACAAAGGCGCACATGATAAAGAAGGCATAAAGTAAATGCTTCATGGTTTGGCTATGAATTACAAGAGAACGCGTAGTGCCGTCGACGAGGGAAGCGTGCCCTCTCATGATGCTGCAACACCTCGTTCCCCGCAGTACTTCTCCACCTCTTTCCTCAGCGACTCGCGCTGGTGGTTGACTGTATCCATGATATCGCTGACACCATTGATCGTCTTGCAGTACTCAAAGGTCTCCGCCATTTGCATGAGTACTGCTGTCAGCTGGTTGGGTAGCCACTATTACGCGTCAGTAAGAGCAAGGACCGTGGAGCCAAGGAAGCACTTACAGTCACGATCGGACTGCCACCTGTTGCAGTGGGGTGCGAAGTGTGCTTGAGGATGTACTCGCGGGTGAAGCACCAATGCCGCCAGCGGAAGTCGCGAACCTGGTCAAGAGCTTGGAGATAGAGCGCGGCTGAAACGGAGTCGCCTTTCGCGAACTCGCGCACGCCCGACTGCTGAGCGCAATCACGAACAGCCTCTAGGAACTCGCGGTGGTTGCCAGGGCGGTACTGGCGGAAGTCCTTCAGAATGTCTGTAAGGGGTGTCTCCGGCATCTGGACCTGAAGCAAGTTGTCGCACATGGGAATCATGCTGTCGTTGGCACCAGACTCGCCGCGGAAAGACATTGGCTCTTCGCTCACGCCCTCGTATATGACACCGTTGGGAAACATGGATTGCGATGTGATGCCGAAGATAAACGTACGGAAGTTGGTGTAGCCTTGCGGCTTGCTACGGTTCCACATGGCTAATCTCGTCAGTCGCGAATTGACGCACCCAAGCAATGCACTTACTGTTCATCACGGCGTTGACGTTCCTGAGACCACCCACCAGAGTACGAAGGCCGTCGTTGAACCGCTCTCGGTCCTTGGCCAAACAGCTTTCAAGCATCTCAGAGGCACCTGTGACAAGCGCACCAGACTCCTTGACCATAGCTATGTGGACGAGAACGAAGCCTGCCTCGGACGAAGTGGGATCTAAGCCATGCTCGAAAGCGCGGATCAGGCGAAGGTTGTCATACTCGAGGCCCCGCGATGGATCTTCCAGGCGGTAGTTGAAGAGCGCATACGACCCAGCATACTCCATGAAGGGCTTGAAACCAGCACTGCGCACGCGGTAATGTCAGCCACGTCATCTACCCTATTATGTATTGTGAAAGTGACTTCGTGACCATGTTCTGCTCGGAAGTTGCCATGCCAAGCTAAGGGGACAAGGACATAAGACTAGCACAACATGGGGATAGGAGAAAGTATTGCCACTTACATCTCAGCAACCTTGACGATGGGTAGTGCGATACATCTCGGCAGCGACTGTCGACCCAGACCATACTCCTCTCCTCTTACATGCCTCTCATGGCAAGGCTCGAAAAGATATGCAGAAGCCAAGAAAGAGTAGTCACGATACAGGGCGTTCATGACAACCAGGTCATCGCGATACTTCTCTACCTCTGGGGTGAGATCAGGAAGCTCCTTGAGTACGGTGTTGCCGAAGGTGAAGTTGGCAAGTAGACCTGGCTCCCCTGACAGTG